AAAAGGAAACAAAACATTGCAACCATGCAAATACAGTGTGATATTAGAAAAGTTTCTCAGGCCCAGACAGTGTCATTTTCTTCATACCTCGATGATCTGATCAACCCAGGCTTTATCGAGATTGACAAAGGCAATTTCCTGGCCAAAGAACTTGACATAGACAGATGCCAAAGGACTGCTGTTGGGCTCAGACCTCCACTGAGAGAGCTGTGGAAAAGAGAAACATCTTTGCTCTACATGTGAACTGTTATTAATGTACCTTTGGGGATTTAGTAGTAAAGTTTAACCACGTACAGCTTTAATCACACGCTTCATCTTTGTGATCCTGTCATGACTTTGAATAATCGCTGGGTTCTTCAGAAGAGCTTCCTGCAGCCCCTCAGTTCTCACTCCAACCTAGGACACATTTAAAAGTGTTTTTTTATAAAGTGTTCCTTAATGTATTTTTTAAAGCCATACCCCCAACCGCTTTATTCACCTCCAGAACATCAGCAGCAGCTCCAGCCAGGAAGGCACTGGTCTTTGCCACCACAGACTTGGGCAGAACAGTGGCCACGTCGTTGATATAGAAAGCAGTGGCAGCAGCACCCATCATAAAAGGATCTAAAAAATATCAGTGAATCAGAATATGAATCAAATCTGTTACTCAGTGGGTGAAATAAAAAAAAAGAATTTGAAAAAAAGAACATTACTGTTATAAATGTCTGCGTAGACAGCTTTGCTGAAACGCATGTTCAGTCTGCCCAGGATGGGATTCAAGATTTTGATAGCAACGTTGCAAGCTGCGGACCTGTACGGAGAGTTAGAGGGACGTGAGTCGGCAAATGATTCCACTGAAACAAATCTGCTGGTGGGTAACGTTTGGAAAAGAACTTACACTGAGTTGAGTGCGACAGCATTGCCCCTGGCCAGGGACTTCATGTAAGAGTAGGTGAAGCTTGCTACCTGCAGATTCCTCTCTGTCTTCACAATGCTGGCAAGAGACGTCACCAGACCCACTGGAGGCCTGGTCTCGAACAGCACGATGCAAGCAAGCATGCGTAGCTCTGCTTCAAGGGTCTTGTCCATGTAGAGCTGAAGAGCCAGGTCCTGGATCTAATGTGAAGGAGGAAAGTGAATTCAGCGTGAGTTCAACTTCACTGAAGAGATGTAGTTTAACACATGCTGCAGTATGGACGGCTCACTATTCGTGGCTCTTTCTTTGCGATGTTTCTCAAAGCCATGATGGCCTCAGAGTGGACTCTCATGGGCAGCGCTGTAGCTACAGTGCCATGTATGGGCAGGATCTTGATTATTGGCTTAATGCTGTTAGGGTGACCAGCGTTCCCCAAAACCTTGAGGAGCAGGATCATGTTCTCGGTGTCACGCTTAACAACAGCCTCGGCCAGAAGGTCCTGAATGGGCTGTGGGAAGATGGAAGGTATGATGATGTAGGCTTACTTTGTCCATAGGAACATGTGTGATTTAAATATGATGAGCGCTACTGTAGGTTGCATCACCTTAATGAGCTCAACAGGGCAGACGGCCTTGTGAACACAGTATTTGTTGATCATGGTTCCATAGCCGAGGAGGACGATCTCCCTCAGAGCTGCATGACTCAGTATTTTGTTACTGACTGCCAGTTCCTGGAAAACACAGACCATGTGAATATGTCTGTGTACCTTCATCTTTACTTCAAATGAACTTGAACAGGAAGTGACCAACCTCAACCAGTTTGATGACCTCGGTGTTTGCCGTCACCATGTGAACAGATGTGATCAAAGCTTGAGCTGCTTCAACGATGGTCAGCTGATCTGCCAGAAACTTCTCCTTAATAAATCTCAGAGCTGCAGGTGTTCCAATGACAGGGATGGCCTCCAAAATCCACTTCCTGACAGAAGACGTTTTCATGAGTCAACCTGCAAACACATTTTCAAAATGCTCTCTTTTTTTTCAGAAGTGTTCAAACAATAAACCTGAAGGCGGGACGGTCTTTGTATTGAGTCCACAGCATCTCCAGGTCTGCCAGGTGAGCTGCACGCAGGACTTGAATCAGTTCCAAAAACTTGAGAGGAGCATCTTCATGAACCTTCTCCACATTGTTGACCACGAGGTGGTTCAGAATATCCACAATCTGGAAAAACAAAAGAAAAAGAAACTTGTTTTTTTTTTGTTCTGTTTGTTTTTTTACTGAATGCATTAAAAAAGGCAGAGACTTTACCTGGGCCTGAACATTGTTGACCTTGATGAGTTGGAGCGGGGTCTGTAGAATCTCAGTGGAGAACTCGTACTTGAGGGATCCACGTTCGATGTAGCTCACCTTAATAGGCACAATGGGGATTTTCTGTACCTCGAGGAAAACCAAGGTTTGCCTTGACAAGAGAAGTGAAGGTTATTAGTTACAGCTTGGTGAAACAGAAACATCGCGGTGCTGAGTTAGAATCACTGTTCCCTAGATACATACTTGGTCTCCATCTGAGCAGCTCCGTTCATTTCAGTGAAAGGTGAGAACTGGATCAGCTCGTTCACAGCTGCGTTCAGGATCAACATGCCATTGGCTGAAGGCTTCAAGATGTAATTGTATGCAGAAGCTCCTCTCAGGTTCTAGGAGTGACAACGATGGAGAACGGTGAACGGCAGGTGATCCTACGATATCTTCTGCCTTTGCAGATGTTCACATGACAATCAGACCACAAATCTAAACTTACATGACGGTGATTGGTCAATTTCTCAACGTATGCCAGCCCTATGTCCTTCATGACTCTTTCCTGACAGTTGTTCAGGTCCCGTGTCTTGGTCACCAGGATACGTTCAGCCTTCTCATCTTCAGTGATGGCATACAGGGTTTTGCACACACCCTGAGCTCCAGCCTAATTAGAAGAAGGTGTGGTGAGGATTACAGTCGTTGTTTGGGGAATTAACACAAAGAAAAACAGACACAAACAAACCTCCTGCATCTCATAGACATTCTGTGTTTTCTTGATGTTGATCTGGAGGACGTTCAGAATTCCTCTGTAGATGTTCATCACCAGAGTGGAGACGCCCTCGGGGGCCTGCAGTTTTCCTACAACACCGTTGACATATTCAAACTTGATGGGCGTCACGAGCTGAGGTGCCAGTGCTTTAGTCAACTTGATCGCCGGAATAAAAGCATCCCTCGGCCAGATACCGCTGTATTCAAAGAGCTCTGGCTCCACAAGCTGCACAATAATTAAAAACAACAAGCAGTTTCAGCACAGCTTCCATTTCACATGTTCTCCGAGTTCTTCTTACTCATGAAAGTCAACCTCACCTTCAGCATGTAGATGTTTTGTGGACCAGCACTGATGAGAACTTTGCTGCTGACTTTGAGTCCTGCTCTGGCCAAACCTGGTTCAGGTAGACCACCAAGGAGCTCTGCCTCATATTTGTACACATGGGTTTTTCCAATAGCGAAGTCTATTACTGCAAGTACATGGTCAAAAACGCAGAGTTAGTATCCAGAGTGGGATTTAAAATATCATCAAAGTATTTTTTCTTTACTAGAAATAATCATTTTCATTAGTATTTGCACATTTAAGAAATTATTTTAAAATTGGAAATCAGATAATAAAAAAAGTTGAACTTACAAGCAGCAGCATGGCCAGCTGAAAGAAAATGGGTGAAAAACAGTATAATTGTTACTCAACC